GCACATTGGACACATCCGCTTCCTACCTCTAAATTAATGCATTTCCGGTTTCCACAGTTTGAGAGTAAAATAGCTGATAAACATATATATGTTTTTTAATATGTTATGTGGTGTTTATGCTGCTCTCCATAGTAATTAAGTTAAACAAAGGATCATTTTTCAGCTTCTCCAGGATTTCACAAGCAGTTATGTGAGAAATAGCATTCATTAAATTGCTTCATTAATCAAGAATATAAATCCACTTTGTGCAATAGAAGTACTTTTTACAACAATAGTGATATAATGAAAAATACTGCCCAGCTCAACTGTCTTTATGGGAATCATTACACTGACAGTATCCCAAATAAAACTTCACTTAGACCATTATAAACCCACTGTTGGGAAACATTTCAGGACTCTGTAGGGCTATTTCTCATCCAGGAAGTCCAGATACATGTGCTGATTTCACTTCATGCTTTATTTCTTCATGCCTGTGGGAGAATCTGCACACATAGTAGCCTACTAATTAATTTACACTCGCTTGACCTCACCCACTTAAACATATTCAAAGGACCGGGTGTATAAACATAACCGCCCTCTGGTTTCCCATGTTGTGACGCACTCATAGGTTTATTCAGAAGTCACATCATGGACCTCGTGTTCGTAAGCTTTATGCTCTCTTAATGCCCACTCTGAACTCTATCGTACCCTACACCCTGCACCCTACCATTATAATACTGGATCTTTGGATTCTACACTAATGATTCATATTAAATGATCATCAGTTACAACCAGTGCCCTGAGGAAATAAACACTGTTAGGGAGCAGCTGGAAAGACAGGTTTTTACAACCTTTGTTTTAATAACTCCTACCTGTGTTTGCTGTTGGAGAGGATAGATTTTATATACTGGATTCAGTTGTTATCACCCCTCTAACATGGTGGCATGAGCCTTGGATTCAGTTTTGACTCCTCAGACAGTTTGTGACAAGCATCTGTGTGTCTTGCTGTCATTGCAGGGGCTTCTTACAGTCAGTCTTAAAGGGACATTTTACCCAAAAATTCACTCATTATCTACTCACCCCTATGCCGATGGGTGAAGTGTCTGAGTCCACAAAAAACTTATCTTGACATAAAAAAACAACAGTAAAAACCCATCACATGCCTCCATACTGCTCATGTGGTGTCATCCAAGTGTATCTAAGCCCTGACATTCATATAAGACTCGAAGCTGCATCATTTACACCGTGTTTTAAAGCCTAAAAGTCCTCTGATATTTCCAATGATGTGCATACAGGGGCCGTAGGAAATGCTAACGTCCGCTAGCTTAGCCACTTGTTGTGGACTTTTAGGCTTAAAACACAGTGTAAATGACCTTGTTTCGAGTCAAATATGAATGTCGGGGCTTGTGGATGCTTGGATGACACCACACAAGCCTAAGATGGATAAAGCCGTCTTCTTTGACAAATACTGAAAGTGTTGTGTGTTGAACAGACAGTCAATGTGTTTAATTTAGATCTGCCATCAAGATGACAAGTTACAGTACAAGCTGATATGACAAATAACCAATATGTTTGTTATTTTAATAGTGGAGAAGATATGTTTTCTGTACGGCTTTGCTAATGCTAATGAATTTTGCTAATGAATATTAGCGTAGGAGCTCAGTAAAGCTGTGCCACCCCATCTTCAATGTTATCATCCATATTGATGTTTCAATGTAGATATCATCATATGTCAATATCCCAACCCTCCTCCACCCTTGTATCACAGTTGGTTATGCAGAGAAGGGGACTTAATAAAAGAAGGGAATTCACCTGTTCTTACTTTGTAAAGGTGCATCAGATTTACAGAATCACTCAAAGTAGTTTGATCATTTTTAATCTTAATGTTTAAATGGAAATTTGACTTTTAGTTTTTCATCCCCAATACATTATAGTTTTAGAATTGCATTTGTTACATTTACACCTGGTGTCCATACTACAGTGGAGTTGCATGCCCCTGAAAGGAGACTTTTTAATATGCTGCTGGCCCTGTTTTACTTTTCAAACTGCATGCTTGTGTGTGAGTCTGCAGGCAGAAACCGACACTGTTGGAAACGATGACTGATGGATGGATCTTATTAGTTATGATGTAGCCTTCCCTGATAGGTCACACTCCTCTATCATGTGACACCTTGATGCCATATCATGTGGCATCAGCTGTGACCACCAGTGTTCGCCGGTGGTGAATGCAATATGGATAATGAATTACAAGTGTTACTAACCCTTACCTTCAGTAACAGTTCCACCTTTTTGATGCAGATCTTTCACATTCCTCTGCCACAATTTAATTCTACTCTTTGCTGCCATGCTAATATACAAGTTTTTTTGCATAATTTGATATTGTCAGGTTTCAATATGTCAGCTTTCTTAGTCCTAAATTGAGATTATTATTATTGAATCACATGATAAAGTGCATTTTAAAACATAAGTTTCAGAACACACAGACATTCACTCAGTTAAACTAGAATTAGAAGATAATCATTTCTAGTCTGTTCAGAAACTATGAGGCTACAGCCTTAGTTTAGCATAGCATGAAGACAAAAATATATTTTAGCTTGTTCAAAACGTACTCTCCAAAAATCTGAAATGTAAATATAAAAATGAGTGGGTTTGTGGGAGAATTATGTACCAGAAGTTGTCTTGGCTGGGAGCCAATTCCAGGCAACCAGTGACAACTCTGGGAAGTTAATGCTTAGATCCCCCCTGGTACAAAGGCATTTCCCTGGTTCCAGTCATTATACTAAGCTAACCCATTGCTGTATGTAGCCTGAAATGTAATGCACAGACGTATTGCCAGAAAGGCAATAAGCTTGTTTACCAAATATTCAACCTTGTGGGTGCTACAGTATGCTAAGCTGCAGTTGCAGTTAGTTTGTCAACACTCAACAAACCAATAAACATCCATCCACAGATACATTTGCATTAATTCAAGACAGACTGATCAGGAGGGAACATCTACACTGTGCCTGCACTAAACAAAAACATATTAGTCTGTTCTCTCTCTCCAGCAAATGTTAGGCTCACTTGTGAGGCCGTCCCAGTCAAAAATATGTATTTAGCTCCAGTGCAAGAAACAAATGAAAGAGGAGTTGGCTTCCCATTCAGAGTACTGTAAATTACCATGAGGATTCTGCTGGCTCCAAGCTGAACCCAGCCAATTTCTCATCTTCACAAACCCCCTAATTTAATGATGATGGCGGATATGCACAGTGTCAGCCTTGTAATTACACTGTATTTACTGTTGAATGGAGGCATTAGAGAAAATTTTCCAGGTATAGTTCGTGATTTAGGTCTGTCTCGGGGATGGGTTTTGCATGCCTGGGAGGACGACTGCTGAATTCCCTAGTGATATTCACAATAAAGCCTTGACTTAGTTTTTGTTAAGACTGGAATTGCTGGAATCCTCTCAGCATGCCAAACAACAGCCACGCTCTCTGTTCTATAACAGTCGCCCTCTCTGCATCTTGTTCAATCTCTGTGCCCTGGAGTTGTGTTTTTTTTCAGCTGGAAATTATCAGACGGAATTTGTGGTTAATTGTTAACGTTCCTGTGGTTGATGCAAAGGTTTTCCATAATGTGCCAGTACTAAGTTTCTGGGGAAAAAGTTAAATTAATCACTTTGTTTGGCTTGTTAGGGTTAGGATTTTTAGTATAGAATTGGTTTATTGGATTAAAGGCATTTGGAGGAGATCTTCTATACACATGTTTACTGAAATCAGACTTAAGTACATATACAGGTAATGTTTGTAATTTCCTGCCTGTGAATCTAATCCAGCCACGCACAGTATGGCTGCATGCAGTGGTTTTTGTGTGACACTTAGTAGGTGTAGGTTCTATCACTGCACTACTTATTGTTGATTGTATATATGTCACTCACCAATACTCGAGATTTGATATATTTCTGTGATGTGTTACTTGATCAGAGCAGATGTTAACCTGCCATGACTAGAGTAAGACTTCTGACAGATGGACAGATTTTAAAGAAAATTTGAAAAGGCCTAGCAGCTTGTTACTTATTTCAATTTGTAAATCCCAAAACACCCAGACTCCTCTATGCTGTTGTTAAGAAAAGCTTTCTGTCCAGCGCACAGTAGATTTTCAGGAATTATTTGGGGGATTTTTTATATCAATTGTGGACAGTTTCAGAGTTTTAGGTTTCTGTTTTAACCAACCAACAGTCGAAACACCAAAATAATAATTAAGACCAAGAATTTCAGTTCAGTCTGGTTGAAGAATGACTTAAATTCTCATTTGTTGCAGCTTAGTTCTCTGTCAATGGAGTTATCATAGGCTAAAATATGTCTTATAGCCACTAAATGTATACTTTTATTTAAATAATACTTTGAATTCAGAGCTTTAGCAAATACTGAAGTGCTTTAAATGTGTGGTATTACTATTTGCCAAGTAAATTATTTGAATAGCTTTGCCACTACTTGACAGTTCGGGTCAATATACAAATATATTTATTGTACTAAATTAGAAAAACGAATCATTACCAAAGTCCCTTTCCTGTAATTCAGTGGTTACGGTTGAGCAGCTGTTGACATGCTATTTTGTCGGCCTTTTCTACCAACATGTTAAGGTTTCGACCTTACTATGTGAAAGGCCTTGAGATAATGCATGCTGATGATTGGGGCTAGCCAAATAAAGTACAATACAATTGCCACTGAATCAATTCCAAAATCTTGTCATTTGCTTTAAAAGGTGGCGGCTGTATGAATCTACCCATGCTTTACATTACAACGCTAGAAGAAGATGGTCAAAGAGCACAGGCAGGATAGTTGGACTTCCACTGTAGCAATTGCAGCAGTCACCTGACCTGTGGCCTGCAGACTCCGCCTCTCCCCTCTGACATCAGCGCTTTGATCTGCGTACTGTCTGTGTTAGCACAAAGCCATATTTAGCTCTGTGTAATCAGTGTGGTGAGAGCTTGCATGCCCACTGCTGACGATACCTGCCTAGTATAAACACACCTGCTCTCTCTGATGGGCTTAAAATGAATTTAATGTGCACCTGAAGGAGTCTGCTAGTAGCAGTGTTCATCAGATAGACTGTGGGTAAGGCTTCCATCGATGTCTTCATGTGTGGTGTATTAGCTTAGACAAATGCTTTTAAAGTGTCTCAGTAGTTTGATTTGACAAAGGTAGGAAAATTAAATAAGCATAGCTTTAGGTTGTAGGTGTTTAGGTTGAAGCTTTAATATGTATTAAGATACATCTTGAATTCAAGTAGATATTCTTCCTTGTTGTTGTTTTGATGATATCCTCCAGGGCAAAGTCTGACTGTGATGCATCTACTGTGCTTAGCAACCTGTGTTTCAGTGATAACAACACATGTTAGCAAAGAGTCCTCTTTACATGGAGTTAACTGTTGGGGACATAAAGTTTTCTTGTGTGCTGATTTGCTTGTTACTCAGAAGAGGAATTGGTGTAGGAAGTGAGCACTTCATACACAGTTGCATCAGTTGGATATTTACAGCACTGCACTTCCTTAAACCACTGAAGTGTTTTTACTTCCACACTTATGTGAATCTTAACCACTTCTGAATGATTTCTCTTGATGGTTATGTGTTGTCTGGTTGAAGTGTAACTCATTAAAAAGACCCTGGGGAGGTCACCATTGTATCCCAGGGTAAACCCACAAATGCCTGCATATTTGTGGGCAATTTAGAGTTTCTGATTGACCAAACTTGCATATCTCTGCTTCCCATAGATGGAAGTGGAGCTGAAATTCAAACTCTGAACCTTCTTGCTCTATAATGCAACAACTAAGCACAAAGCCACTCTGGTCACTTTAAGAGCTTTGAATGTATGTAATACATACCTTTATTGTTCTTGTTGTTTAACTGCTTATTGATGCATATCAATTGAAGTCAGCTTGTTAATTGAATTGATGTAACCTAAAAACACACAGCCTTTATGGCAGTGGGGAGGATACATTAATCTGATCAGGCCTGCTATGAGACTGAGGTTAACATTGCTCAGGATTCTCCAGGTTAAACCTCTTACCTCTCAGATGGGACGAGCAGCCACTTTCTTTTTCTAAAACTCATCTGTCTCACAGTCTTTCTATGTATATTCTCTGCTCCTGCGCTTATATTTTGTTTTCTTTTAACTGTTGAATTTTATTTGAACAACACAATATAATCGGCCTAACCTTTGCTCTCACTCATCAGGATACTGTAAGAAATAAGTGGCCAAGTGCAGCTAAATTCAAACAACTGAAATTGCACAATTTAATATGTTAAATACAGGCAAAGGTACAGGCTCTAAAAACCTTTTTTTCTAAATATAAGCCCAAGGTTGTTCTTTGTGAATGAGGCTCTTTGCTAAAACTGTAGCAGCAGCTCTCAGTTTGCTCACATGTAAAGTCAGCCATTTTGTGAAATCAACTATTTCTTGTTCTTGCCAAACGCAAGCTAGAAACATTAAAACCACTCACATCATCTGTGAAGCAAATATAAGGCTACCTACACCAGCCAGCCATCTTAGCGTTGCATTAAAACTGTAAACAAGGGGAATCATCTAGTTTTGCTCTGTAAAAAGGTAATAAAACTGCCCTCCAACACTTCTTGAGGTCAGCAGTCAATACACAGTGTAGCATCTGTTTAATCTATACAAAAATCAAACTTTAAGGCAGAGAAAAAAGTTACTTTATGCCCACTTTCAAATTATAAATTGCAGTTTTTGCACCTAGATATCTTGACGATTTATTGTACCTATTTCCCTATTTTTCCAATCTCTGTGATAATATTTGTTAGTTGACTTCTGGTGTTTTCTTTTTATAGAGATGTTATATAATCTTCTGCAAAAAACTATTCCTTTAATATGCATGCAGACTCAAAGCATTTCATAGCCTCACGGTGGAAACAGAGGGGAGGGGGTGGCATCAAACCTGGGGAGGAGCGCTGATCAAGGCTCAGGCCCTGATTACAGGCCGACCCCCAGTGCACCTCACAATAAGATAATGCTATCTGGGCCCACAGGTATTTGGTTTCAGTGGAGAGGGTAATAACTGTCACCAAACACTGAGGAGACCTTTCATCCCCTGGCCTTGTGTTGTCAGCCAGCGTTTGTGTGCAGTCTCTGCACAGAGGCAGCTTTTGTGTGGCCGGGTGAGGTCGCGTCACCACTAAGGCCTCATATCTGTCCATTGAGACAATAGCTAGGTTAGATTAAATCAAACAGCCGTGACTATCTAAATGGTAGTCAACATGGTGTGTCCAAGTTACTGTGGTGGCATTGTTGAGAATGTGATGTAGCCCTGACCAATTTAGCCGAGCCTCAGAAGAGCAGAGCTGATAGTGAACCGTAAAAAGAATCAGCTGAGTGTTCAACACAAAGCAGACACACTGTTACTATGGTGGCTTGTGCTGTGGCTGAGTGCAGTCAGTGTGCGTCATGTTGTAGTGATAGGCCAATAACTAATGGTTGACTATTGAGAGAACACGGAAGAGGTTAAACAAATGTCTTGAGTTAAATATCAAACCTCTGAGTCACATTGAACCACAGTTGTCAGTGTCCCATGTTTGAAGACTTTGATTGCCTCTGTTATTAGATAATTGAGACATTGCTGTTTTCACGAGTCTGAGTGATATGATCAAGAGTTTTAGAAGTCTTACTTTATGTGTGAGACATTGTTCATGTTTGGAATAAAACTAAAGGCAAAGTACATGTGGTTATTAAATATGTCTGCAACCATGCAACCCAAGCACTAGGACTTTCAAGCTAATGAAATATGTAAGATGTAAAAAAGACAAGCTGATAATAACAGAATAGGAGGAGATTAAGAGGAGTGACAATAAAGATCATTTAACTATGGGAGAATTCATATGAACAATGTCTCCCAATAGTCTTTAAACCGCCTGAAAGCTTTCCATGGCACCTCTGCCATGTGGGAACAAGGTTTTTTATCCAAAAAGGCACCATTAGGCCTCACATCTAAAGCAAGAATGACACAGATGGGTCTTGAACCCCAAAAACTGGCATTGTTTTGGACAATTCTTCAACAACAGTTTGAAAACCAGCAGCATCACATGTGGAGGTGATGTTAAGACAAGTCATGTTTGGCATATGCATGTATCAAAGGGTAGCATACAAAAATAGACCAAAAACAGGCACAAAGTGAGGAATCCAGGCCAGATTGTCCTTCTCTAGTTTATGCAAGAGGGATGGGCCTTTCACAGGTGGGGTACAAGCTCAGTCCAGCTCCTCACTTAGACCTTCCTTTTCTGTTGTCATCATGGAGCCTCAGTATTGGATGACATCTCAGGTCTATATTGGGCTTCTGTCCCTGTTTACAGGTTTCTCCATGTCCTTGACTGCAGCTCTCTATGCACTGACAAATTCAAAAAGCTTCACAGTGAAACTTCTGTCCCCATAATACGAATCTGCACTGACATTCGTCAAGTTAATTAATTGCCATTGGGAGGTTTTTGACCTAGAAAGACTGCAGTAAGAAGCTTTGAGGTGATAAAACACTGCCTGTTATGTTCACCGAGTTCACTTAATCTGACCTATTTCATTTCAGTATCTGCTGTGATTGTACACACTGGACATTTAAGCAGCTACTGGCTTACTCTTTCTGTTTTTGGGTCTTAAGGATAATGGTCATTTCCTGCAGCAGATGTGAATATTAAAAACTAGGCATTGACAAGAAGAATGACTTTAATGCCTTGCTCAATGACAGCTGTTGAGATAAATCTTTGATAACTCTTAATATCTTATGAAGAATCAGTTGGTGTTGTGTGCAGCTCCTATAAGCTCAGGGTGCTGACTCTCATTTGCAACATTGTGAACATTCATTGTAAACAACTCATTGGCACTTGTGGTGAGCTTCAAAGAAACATGTCATAGAATAGAAGTAGATGCAGCTGTTTAAATTATTAAATCTTAAAAATTATCTTAAGCATTTTAACGAGACAAACTGGTGAACACATTCTTGATGAAGTTCAGAAAATACAATGAAATGCACAGACTGTGGTCATTAGGAAATGTACTTCCCAGTATTGATGCCAGTTTGTTGATTAAGATAAATGGGTAGATCACCCAAACAGTGTGATAATGACCACGTTTCACCAACATTTTAAAGTGCAGTAGGGCACATGGATCATGTTTGTTGGGAAGGGTTGGGAGTACTTTTGTAGTTTGCATCATGCATGAAACTGTACTGCCTTTGATGCATTTTGGATGTTTAATATATCTTCAGCTCTTACCAACTGCTTGAACCTTGACCTGCAATGCACACGTGCATTTGTTTTAGTATTTTAAAGAGTTGTGGCCTGTGGACAAGACTCAGATGTTCTTACAGGAAGTCCCTGAGGGAGTGGTGCTGACGGAGAGATTATGTTGATGCCGTCACAGTCTTCCAGTTCCCTCTGATCTACCAACGGTCTACTGTTCCTCGCACCAATTCATTGGGTTACTTTCATGTTTTAATGCCATCAGATCTTATAGTAGACTGCCTTTGATCAGAAGGATTTAAAAAAAGTTGATCTTGTGAGATGATTACACGCAACAAAGTAAATAACTGTTTTGTTT